TATTTTTGTGTATCTTTATATTAAACAATTATTTCTTATTTAAATAACACTAATTCAATTAATCACATAAAATACTACGGTATTTAAGTAGTCACAAAAGCTAAAATGTGTTAAATTTTTGCCTACAAAAATGAAACATCAATTAATTTGATAGAAATTTTATTTTTAAAAACATGAATTAATATGATAGAGAGAGAGTGTATTTTTGTATTATAAAATTTTGTGTTAAATTGTTCATTAGTAACGGAAGAAAGGTTGTTAAATTAAGAGAATTAATATGCCAAACAACACATGTAAGACGCTTTCGTTTTGTTTTTTGGTTGATTTATGGTAATAATAGTTAGTATGTTTTTATCTACACATTTTAAGGCTCATCACTTTACAGATGTAATTGATGGAAAATTGGATTTTTTCAAACATCTCTGTAATTTTTTTTGTTAATGAAAAATTGGTCGACAAAAAAAAAAAAAAAACTCATCACTTACCACTCATCACATGTTTTTTTTGTGCCACCTACTTTTGTATATCATCAACCTCCTCATTTGTTTTTGTTTTTTATATGATCAAGGAGTAGTATTTAAATAGCTTGTAAATTTCGAATTTTCAACTATTCAGTGTGATCTAGAACAATATAATTAGTAGGTTTTGAATTTTGTAATTAACGAGAAAAAGAAAATTTGATCCGGTTTGTAATTTGTAAAACTTTAGAAAATGAATAATAGAAAGAAGAAAGGTGGGGTGCGATCATACCAGCATTAATGCATCGGATTCTATCAGAATTCCGCAGTTAAACGTGTTTGGACGAAAGTAGTACTAGGATGGATAATCTTTTAGAAAGTACTCGTGTTGCACCCCACCCTTCCTCTTAAAGAAAAAAAAAAAAAGGTGACGTTTGTAATGACATGTCTCTATGTTACGTGAAGCCATCGTCCTTTGACTTGAAGACTCCCAGATTCAAGGTTACCTGAATTTTTTTAATCATATCTTTTGATTATTATCTTGATTAGTTTGGTTTAACTTGGAATCTTTTTAATTAGTGTAGTACTTCATTGACTTTTAGTCTTTAACAATAGTATCATATTTAGTGAGATATGAAAAGTTTTCAAGTGAAATTAGTTATATACTCTCCCTACCTCTTTCACGCTAAATCCGTATTTTTCTTCACATCATAAAATCTTACTCTAATTATATGACATTAAAATGAAAAGCAAGTTTACAATAACAAAATGAAAAGAATATTGTTATTGTTGAAGATATCTCTATCACTTAATTAGTAATGAAATTTATCTAATTCTTACTCAAATAAATTATCTTATCTAGTTGGAATTTTGGGTCTTTGACATCAGAAAACAACAACAAATCAAAATCAAACTATAGATTTTCTTTAATAATGGCAGTGAAATAGAAGTGGCAGTCATTGTTTTTGGACCCAATCATATCCTTTTCATTGCCCCATATTCTGATTTTCTTTACAATTTCAACCATTCAAGCAGATTTTGGCTCTTCAAAATCTAGAAACACACAAAACCTTACTTTACAATTCAGTTAGAATTTAGTTTGGTTCTCAAAGATTACATGAACTTTAAGTCACACAACTTTTTGGTTTCTAAACTTATATTGAAAAAAGTGTCCGAATATCTCTAGGATAAACCGTATAACAAGATACAAGAGTTTACACAACTTAGAGAATCTTGTGGTCCTCACTCGTTGGCTACAAAAGAATTTGACTAAGAGTTAAACTTTTCAGTCCTTAAGAGAAGATTGGGGATTCCCTTTAGTCCATGTAGAAGGCTTAGGGACTCTCTCAAGTGCCAGCATTAGGAGCTGGGGTCGATAATGGTGGTCCATAAGAGTATCTCCACTGACCACAAGCCTCACATTTCTCCTGCTTCACCTCGTTTTCAAGCGTGCAGAACTTGCAAGACCATACTTTGTGCTTGATCTCCCTTTCCTTTGGCTTTGTTGCGGTGCATAGCTCGCATATTGGAGCCAACGACTGCTCGAAGAAAACACCACAAAATGAAAAAAAGGAACAGAGAGAACAGGAAGCTTCAAATTTCTATACGATCTCTGAGGAAGACTTACCGGGTTCAATAAGGTGCATTCTCCACACTCCCACATTGCCGATTCTTCTCTGCTTTGGTTTGCATTGTAACCGGTCAAAGGCGAAGTTCCCGATGCTTTCGTGACACCAGGGTTCGGTTCACGTTTGGAACAAGAAGGACCCTCATCGACTGGGCTGCAACTTCTTTTAGTACGTCTTGTTTCAGAAGCTTCCTCTGTTAAATCAATGACATTTGATCCCCATTGATGACTAGAAGATGGAGGACAAGAATTAGCATTGGAACAGCTACTACTTCTTTTTACTGATTTTGCATTCAAGCTCGTACAAGTTTCCCTTACTGAAACAGGTTCCTTACATGTGTCACTATCATTCCCTTCGTCTTCTAAAGCCTCAGCGGATTGAGAACCACACCAGATATCATCAAGTAAACGCCTTTCAGCTGCCATTGCAGCAGCTTGTATTGGACTAAGATCTGACATAATGCTACTATCACCACCAAGACGTTGAGGTCCTGAAGGTAACAGAACACCCGCACGCACTCTTTTCTCCGCTGCAGTAGCTGCTGTTGCTCGAAGAGACGAGAGTGGAGGCTGACGAGAAAATCCACCCAAACGCTTCCCAGGAACATCAAATCCTTGCCCTGTCCCTGTTATACCCTTTGCTATTAACTCTTCACACTCCTGAACGCAATGGAGTTAGTTAAAACAACAATAGAACAACAACGCAATTCGCAATGCAACATGAAAGAGTAGCCAAATCGTATGAGAATTTCAGCTAAACATGAGCTCCAAACGATACTAGCTATAATGACATTCAACAAGACAGCCTCCTATGATCGCATCTCGCTCGAAAACATCAACTTCCATGATTTTAATCAAAGTACCTTTCGAAGTTCGTCCCAAAGTTTATAGAAACTAGCATTGTGAGGACCATGAGCGTTATGGCAAAGCTCATGGAGCATAGTGTCAAGAACTTCATGGTAAGATAAGAAATCTCCGTCATTGTTTACCCTCCTAAGCCTCAATTTCACTTGCACTCCTCTATTTACATTAACCCCCAAAAGCCTTGGATTTGTTGGGCTGCAAATTTTCGAAAAAT